CTGTCCTCGTCACCTTCACGAGGGATTCGCTTGGCATACTTGTAGCACTCGGCCGGAACCATACCCAGACCCGGGGAACGCCCATTAGACAGGGACGACAAAGCCGCCTCAACCTCTTCAAGAGTGAACGGACCATTCATAGTGTCGGCCATAGACCGTCTAGCATGCACCGGTTCGGAATCACGCCACGCCGCCCCGACTTGGGAGCCCGCACCGAGATTGATACAGTTGAGAATGGCACAGACACGGGCCTCCTGCACCTCATCGAAGGAGGCTGAGGCATTATAAAGGCGATCGAAGTAGTCTGTCCACTCCGACACGTCTTCCACATTGCATCTGGACGCTGGCTTACCGTTCAGACGTTGCCATAGGGTCTTCGCATCCCGTTTGCATGTAGCTATGAATGACTCCAAGGCTCGCAGCCGGTGATCCCGTCGCGCGTTACGTTTAGCACGATTAAACTGACGACGTAACTCTTGAAAACTCGTATGCCCCATAGCCGGGGCAGCACACCCCCACTTCATCACATCAGACCGTTACTGCAACATGGCCTGCTTAGCCGCAGCACACTCATCATTCCACCACGCCGCCTTGCCGTTAGAAACCGGCCCGGGCCTGAAGGCATCACCGAAGCAACCCAGCAAAATCCGTTCCAACCCAGCAAAATCCGTTCGATTTTTCGTTTAGGTGCGGACAGTGGCCTGTCGGTCCCAGTCTCTGGTTTAGGTGCGGACAGTGGCCTGTCGGTCCCAGTCTCTGGTTTAGGTGCAGACAGTGCCCTGTCGGTCCCAGTCTCTGGTTTAGGTGCGGACAGTGCCCTGTCGGTCCCAGTCTCTGGTTTAGGTGCGGACAGTGGCCTGTCGGTCCCAGTCTCTGGTTTAGGTGCAGACAGTGGCCTGTCGGTCCCAGTCTCTGGTTTAGGTGCGGACAGTGGCCTGTCGGTCCCAGTCTCTGGTTTAGGTGCGGACAGTGCCCTGTCGGTCCCAGTCTCTGGTTTAGGTGCGGACAGTGGCCTGTCGGTCCCAGTCTCTGGTTTAGGTGCGGACAGTGGCCTGTCGGTCCCAGTCTCTGGTTTAGGTGCGGACAGTGGCCTGTCGGTCCCAGTCTCTGGTTTAGGTGCGGACAGTGGCCTGTCGGTCCCAGTCTCTGGTTTAGGTGCGGACAGTGGCCTGTCGGTCCCAGTCTCTGGTTTAGGTGCGGACAGTGGCCTGTCGGTCCCAGTCTCTGGTTTAGGTGCGGACAGTGCCCTGTCGGTCCCAGTCTCTGGTTTAGGTGCGGA